CCCTCCTTCACCTTCTTCCTTGAACCAGGATTGCAGCTCTCACTGCACGCAGACAGAGGCTGTGCCTAAGTTATCCGGGAGGTGGGGTGGGGGAGAAGAGGAATCATGAGATGTATTTATTGGAAGCCTTCCAGTTATGCGATCTCTTTGTCAGTTACCCAGCTCTCCAACAGCAGCTATTAGATAAAATGTTCCATGAGTCTTTGGTGTAGTTACAATTCTATGACTATGTTTCAGAGGGGAACTGCATATGTGCTTCCCACCTCCTTCTAAATTGAATGGAAAAATAGAGCAAAGATTGGTTTCAAGATCCCATATGAATGACTTGATCAACCCATTTCCTCCTGGGGTTGGGAGCACTACATTTCACCTTTGCCTACATTCTCCCAAAATCACATTTCAGTGTGCTTCTATCATTGACATTTTTTAAAGCTATTTTGACACTTACTTTGAACAAGCCAGCTATGCAGTTTATGCATTTTTCCAAAGATGCATAAAATGTGTGTTGTCATGCTTAGTAAGAATATGCTGATGTTCTGATTTGCATTAAAATGGGATTTTTACGAATGCATTTTTGTTTGAATATTTGGAAAGGACTTTGAAACAGACAGTTTCCTGATGCTCAGCACTGTTCTCTCTGAACTCTAATTACACTTTCACAGCTGTAAGGATGCTTGATATCTTTGCTTAAGAGACTAAGTTGTATTGATGGTGGTAACTGACCTCGACATGACTGAAGCTTCTGAATGATCAGAAGGACAAATGCCTCCCTTGTTTGTTCATTTTCCTTCTTTAGTGGGAAGCCACAGGGTGCATGAGCTAGGGAAGTACATTTTATATACTGTGACTTATTTTGAAAGTTGACTGTACTTTCCAGACAGCTCTGCTCTGAGGCAAAGATATGACAGAGTTGTGCACTCCCCCTTTTGGTGTTTTGAAAGGAGATTGGATGAAATAACAATTTTTCACCCTGTGACGCAGAAATAAAATGAGTTGGGGACTATTAGCACCTTCTAACTGGACATGGAAAAATTGGATTTGGGACTGGCTTGAGGAAGAACAGAAGCAATGTCTCCTCTTCCTTGATGGAAGTTGCTTCTTCCTAAGAAATTAATTTGAACTAATATTGTAACACATATAGGATGGGAGTAATAACTATAACACATCTCTTTTCTTTCACTCTTTTTTCTTTTTCCCCACTACCTCTCCCCATCTTCTGACTCTTTCTGATTTAAATGGCTATGTTAAATTGTGAGCTTATTTATTTCAATGGAGAAATGTGTGGAGTGAATAGGTGGAAGGGGAGGGGGAGAAGGGAGGATAAACCCAAGCAGGAAGGTATGATCTGCACATTGTATACTTATGGAGAAATCAATATAGAAAGTGGAAAAAATAGCCATCTGTGAATTAGACGATCTTCTCAATATTCTGACAGGAAGATTTTTGAGCAAGATTTTTAAATATGTGTAATAAATTCAAGAAGGTTATCTAAACAGAATAAGAGTCAGAATGGAGAACTTATCAATAAATATTAATGGAATGATCTCCCTCTCCATGCAAGTCAAAGTTGTCACTTTTTTAAGAAAAAAAAGGTCAGATATAATACGCTTTCAAGAAACTCATATAAAGAAAAAAGTTCTCATGTTTTAAATCAGGAGAAACAGGACAAAGATATGAAATGTTCGCTTACACATAAAATGAAGGAGCCATTCTTTATATCCAAAATCAAGGGACCACAGTTGTAGAAGAATTAAAAGACCCAGAATGAGGATTTATTATTTTGAAGATAAACTTTCGAAGGGGAGGTTAAATACATTTTCAATAATATGTGCTCTAACTGATACCAAAGAAAGGTTTTATGAAAATTGTTTCAATCAGTATTGGATTTCCATGAAGGAGAAATTTTGATAATTGGTGATATGAATGGAGTCATAGACCCTAAAAAGAAGTAAAAAAAAAAAAAAAAGTAAAAGGGAGTAAACCCCCCAAAATGTTTCTAACTATGTGCGAGAGCTACCCTTGGAAACTGGATGGAGATTCAAAAACCCTAGAACAAGTGACTAGGGTGCTTTTTTCCTCATGGACATCAGACATGCTCAAGGATTGATGTGTGCTGTCTATCTAAAAATATAATTATGAACTTAGAGGCTGTAAAGATCCAGCCCAAAATACTGTCTGAGCAGAATCCCCCTACCCGGCCCACAAAAATAAATAAATAAATAAATTGGCAAGAAGAAAAATTGGAGGAAGAAAATAGGGATTGAATGAAAATCTTTTACTCCAAGAAAATAATTGGAAGAAGTCAGAAAAAAACTGGGAGAATTCTTTAGACTAAGAAATACAAGAGATGTCTTGACAGCAACAGTAAGGGAAGCCAAAAAAGCATCAGTGAGAGGATTTTTTTCAAACAATAGCATCTAAAAACAGAAGAGAGATAGTAATCAGAAGAAAGTAAAACAAAAAGTCCTGTAACAAATTCAAATACTAGAGGATCACCATTAAAACAAAAACAAAAGTCAAGGCAAATCAATCTTAACTGGACTTAGACAAATTTGAAATTAACGAGACATGATAGAGACAAGAGAGACACAAAGTACCGTATTTTTCACTCTATAAGACGCACCTGACCATAAGACGCACCTAGTTTTTAGAGGAGGAAAACAAGAAAAAAATATACTGAATCAAATGGGTACATAATCACAGGCACATTCCCCATGGGCTGCATATCTGACAGACTTACTGCACACTCATATTCGCTCTATAAGACTCACAGACATTTCCCCTTACTTCTGAGGGGGAAAATGGTGCATCTTATAGAGCAAAAAATACAGTAAGTTGAAATTTCTAAAGCAGTTCAATATTGAATATGCAATAAACCTGGAAGAGATTTGGCATATCGTCTTAAGAGAGAAATGGAAAGTTCTGTAATGGGGTGAAAAAGGATATTAAAATTATATATGGGCAGGATAGGGGTGCTCTTAAAGTCATGGGGATACAAGCAGCATCCATCTGCATATATGGGCCACCATCTTTAGTTGTTGCCGTTCATGTTGGTCAATCCTATCCCCATAGGCTAGGTCATTATTTTTCCTAAAGTTTTTTCTATACAGAACAAGCAGGGACATCCAATGAAGTTCAGAGGACAGATATTCTTCTTCCACTCTGCTACTCTGGAAGAAAGAGTACCACTCTGCGAAGAACCAGACCTGATTGAACCAGCTGTTCCATGTTATGGCATCAGGACTGATGGTGAATGCTTGGTCTGGAGCACCCTCAGCTTCCATTCTCCCAACTTTCACTCTTTGAAAAGACTGGTTTGAGGACACGATCCAATTGATCACATCAAATGCAGTGACTAACTCTCCATCCTGGTTAAAAGAAACCTTGTCCCCAGCACTGTTGTTAAACAAAACAAGCTTCATAAAATGGTGGAGCTGGAATGAAAAGGAAAGTGCTTAGAAAAATTGTGAAAGGGTCATGCAGACAAAAAGACAAAAATACTTGCACTGGATGGCTGCCATTTCCTCCTTATTTATCCAAGGTCCCCTTATGCTTTCAGTACTGACTGTAAGCTACAATAATCTTCCCATTCAGATGTTAGATTGAATTTCTACAGAAGTTTGAGCTAATTTTTCAGAGATTCTAGAAAAGTATTTCATGTAGGAGAGCCTAATTTAAAAGTTATTGTACACACACACATACTTTAGGATCTTGCTTTTTCTGTAAGAAGACTGATGCTTGATCGTTTAGTTCAAATAAAAAGTGAATGAGTTTCATTACTTTATATGGATTTTTTAATATACAAAGCTGTGGTTCTCTCCCACATGAGCCTATTCAATCAATTACCTGCCATTGTAGATGACTCTGAAACATAGGTCCCCCACTGGTCACCATTCCCCTGTTCTTCAGACCGGAAAAAGACATGGCATGCAAGGCATGGGCCACCGCATGGACAGCATTGTAGACATTGTAGCTGTGGCCAGTCAAACTCATTTCAAAAAATGACCCAGGAAGATGCTCCAGCTTCTCATCCCCAGTGCAGATATCCCCATCTACATTGTCCAGAAATTGATCTGGGAATGCGCAGCTGAAGGCCTGTTGCCAGAAAGACCTAATGAATCCATCTCCTTTTGGACTGGAAGGGTCTTGTGCATTAAGGAATTGTTCAAATCCTGGGACTTCATTGGATTGAATTCTGAAAGACAGGGCACCATGGAAAAAGTCTGTGTTCCAATTCCTTTGAAAAACAAATGATGTGAGCTCCACCTGAGCTGTCACAATTATGACTTTGCCGATTGGTGTATTTGGCCCATGTTGTTGTTCTGATAGGTATGGTAAGAATCTAAAAAATGTCATGAAATAAGATTCTCCATTAGCCACCAATACATTTGCT